ATGGAAGAAAATATACTTGGATAGACTTTATTTTCCAAACAAGGATTCTACAAAACATTCTGTGACAAAGTCTTAGGAAACGTTGCTTTTGGATTTTCCGAAACAGGATGTTCTAAAACAGCCTTAAGGAATAAAGACAACTGAATTTACATAATAACTCACATCTCTCTTGAGACTTTTGCCATCAAATAATCCCCAGATAATATAAGAGATCCATTTCCAGAGTTGTCCATTTGACTTTTGTTAAGAAGGTTGCTTTGCCTACCAATGAGGAAACATCTTTGGAAGCAACCACCAGCTAGTGATACAGTTGAAATGAGGAAAACTAGATGCCTGGAAGGGAAAACACCCAATCCTAAATCATATGCTTATTCTAAATGGAATATTAAATTAAATTCTTCACAATGAAGGTATTCCTGACAGAGCGGCTGTCAGTCACCCCCTGTTCAGACACCACATTGTGGGAACCTCATCGCTACCACATTGCAGAAGGCTGGTATCCCTGGTAAAGATGATGTATGTCATGTAAACCCCATCACCCAGATCAAAGTCTGCTTTTTTCATGGAAGCCAATACATGTCAAACCTCATTCCAATCAAATCATCTGGAAATGAATTCAAGATGAATATGTCATAGAATAATGTGACAGTGGAATTGCAGAAGGTCAGGGGTGGTTGTTTCAATGAGAGAGTCGTCAAATATTAATTCTGGAACGTCCAGATGAGTAGGCATTGAGGGGGATTAGCCGGCTGCTGGTGGGATGTCGTGTCATTGATTTGTGTGCAAATGTATTGAACACCAAGGTGTTCTAAGTTTCATTTGAACTCAAGAAACTCCCTCCAAACTCTCAACCCAACGTAAACAAAAGACAAAACAAAACTTCCTACTTAAAAATAAGAAAAGAAACCAGCAAACCAATATTCAAAAGAGGATTTTAACTTACTTGACTCTTTCAGAGTGTTTCGGTAAAGCCGTAATCGTTTCCTCATCACCAAGGATGTCTTGTATCTCATTTTCTGAGTTTGAGCCTGTTTGGGAAGAAAAGGGTGACAGTCACTAGTTAAACAATTTTATACACCTGTGTGGCAAAATTCTGTGGTTTGAATGTATGAATGAAAGAAGGTATTGGTCTGAAGAAAGGCTTTTGGTCTTCGACCATTTTCAAATTTGGAAGCTGAAGAAAAGGCTACTGCCAAGAACAGCCCATATTGCGAAATGATATATCTTTGGTGATAAAAATATGGAAAAATTGTAATTTTCCAGCAAGGCTTTTATTTGAAACTCCTTTGTTGTTTTACCTTGCAAATAGAAGTAAGCTCTCTTTTAGTCAGTGCTCAAAAATCTGTAGCTTCTCGAATTTAAATTAATTGTATAAGAAACCCCATTATTTTTATGAAGTTTATGAACTGAAATTTAGTGAGGTGTGGCGGGGAAAGCCTACTGAACCCTGAGAGGTTAGTAGTTCAAATTTGAGTTACAACTGTTGGAACTGAGAGGACAGGAATTTCTTTGCAGGTTTTCAAATCCTGTTCTGCCTGTGATGCTGCAGAATTCCTTAGCCTCACATTTCCCACACCCCAGGCCCATTTGGGATCCATCACCAGTTGATTTTTTAAAGCTAATGTAAAATTTGTCAGATTAAAAAGGTATAATTTTAATCATTTGATTCGAATCATTCACATTTCATAGTCCAGAAGGGTAGAAATAATACCGCCCCCCCCCCCCAAGATATACACATTACTTATCAGATTCACTTTGTGGCTAAAGCTACCAAACCATTGGCCATCTTAAATACTTAAAGCCATCCTGAGGACCTCTGCGTCTGTCAGGCAAGGCTGAAGGCAGTTAAGCAGCCAAACAGAAGCATCTACCCGCCCCGACCCTCAATTTGGCCTAGAAAGAAAAACAGTCATTGAAAAGGTCTCAGGCTGGACAAACACAGCAAGTCCTCTGTCAATGGGGATGTCTGCCCACAGAACAAGCAGTTGTTTAACTTGTTGAACCACAGGCCAAATCCAAGTGGGGCTCTGTTATCTTAAAGGGTATCCAGTTCTCTGTGCACAAAAATCTCTCTCTCTCTCTCCACCTCAACCTCCATCAAGAATTCCAACTAGCCTGGCGGCTTTTACTCTTCCATCTTCCCTCCTTTCTAGGTCCAGGCCTGGGAGGCAGGGGGTAAACTCACCTTTTCCCAGAGGGTATTATTATTTTCAATTCTTTCTAACCAAAAGGCATTCTTCCCCAAAGGTAATAAGCTCCTTCCAGCACGAATCAGGAAAGAAAGGAGGCCTAACTTTGCATTCCTACAGAAGGGCAGCATGCTGGGCGTCCTCGCTCTGAAATTTCCTCATGGCAGGATGTCTGGCATGGAGAAGTCCTGGTTGGTTGGCAATAATAGAATTAACTTTTTTTGCTTCTGGGGGAAATGGGTGTAATATTCCCTAGAGATTTCTATCCACCGGCAAGGCTACCTCAACCCAATTTCTAAGAGGACTGGATCACTTTTGCCCCAGGCCGCATCAGCCTTTTGTGCACTACAGACCCACAGACATGCAAACAAATGTTGCAGAGGTCGAACTAGAACAGGCAACAGGGACTTTAGGAGACTCTCTGTAGCATTTCCATTACCCAGCCTATACAGGGAACCAGGGTAAAACATCTCCTTTGGTTCAAACTCTGACACCATTTAGCAAACAAGCCAGTCATCTTGCTGAAGGGTAGGTGAGAGGATTTGGGAGGAATCCCTGGGCCCAGGGACCTGAGGACTCAAACAACCCCGGAATATAGGAACTCAGTTTCGTTTTTCCCCAAATGCTTGCTCCCCACGTCAGCCGCAGCCTCCGAATTTCCAGGCCATAGCACATCCTGGAGACTTTTTGGAGTCTTCCTTTCTGCTCCCACCTTGAGAAGAGGAAAGGGTGCTAGGGAGCCCCAGAGATTGATAGCGCCGGAGGCGAGCCAAGAAGGTGGGGCGGTGGGTAGGTGCAAAAAGCACCATTTTTATTTGGAGGAATCTCGGAAGCCGCAAGTAGTGGGATCGACCTAGCCAGCGCAAAACTACCCAAGGTCAGAGGTCAGCTGCAACCAGAGACTTCATTCAGTTCCGGAGCTGCTTCTTACTGATTCGCCGGCAGGCTCGGGAAAGGCTTGGCCACCTCTCCGCTGCAACTTGTCCCTGGCGGGCGCAGAGCAAAAACCCTGAAAGCTGGCTGGCTTAGAGCTCCAAGCCAGAGCGGCTGCCTGATTTCACCATCTGCACCCCGGACTTTTTTGGCTCCCCTCCATCCGACCCTCAAGTGCCAGGAGGTTGAGCTGCTGAGACTGGGTTAGGCAGGGGCCTTTACTTATTCTCCTATTCTCTAGAGGGAGAAGCTCGGGTTTCCCAGCTCGGCGCTGAAGTGTGGGCAGCCTCCGGGTTCCCAGAATAGTTTCTATCAGTAGATCACCTGCAGGATCATCTTGGGCATTTAACCCTCCCTTTGAGTCACCCCTCCCTCAACCTTCAGGCGGCTGAGATAGGAGAAAAATCAGCGGAGTGCGGTGGTATGGGTCGCTGCGAGGCCAATACTGTCGGAAAGCGGGGAAAACATGACCTTGGAATCCAAAGACTTTCCTGAAGACGGTGACTGCCGAAGTACAACCCTCCAAAACCCTTTCCGCTTTCCTAGGACTTTTCCATGGGCCATTCATTAACCCCAACTTTCAGGTCCAACCTCTGAGCCAGTCCTAGCTTTCGTTCACAGCTCAACTCCGTTCCCTCACTTGCCCCTAATTTCCAATGCCCCTGGGTCTATGCTAGGGGCCAGAATCCTAGGGGCTGCGGCCTGCTCCCCAGAGAACTAGTTGCTGCTCTTGTTCACATTGGAGAGAAAGAAAGCCAAGTCTCGAACCCACTGCTGGCCAAACGCAGAGAGCAGATCCCAGCAGTCAGCTTCCTGAGGCAGGACCAAGATGAGGGAGGACAAGGAGCCGGCCCAAGGTGGACTCAGGCGGCATCTGCCCTCAGGTTGGGGCGGAGAAGTTCCATCGTCTTGCTGCCAGCTGGGCTAACTTGGCTCTTTGACCCTGGAGAGGGGAAGCGGAGACCCTCCTCACCATTCCCTTGGGGGCAGAGCAAAGAGACCGCCTGTAAAGGGGGCATCTGCCTTGCTCATTTATCGCGAGGGAAGCTAGGGGCCACGATTCCCCTTCTTGTGCCCAAGGTGGGGCACCCAGACAATTTACAAGGAGAGAAGGAAAGGCAGGCAGGCAACAAGCTGCTCCTGGTTCCTGTGCCAGTGGGAGCCCCATTTGTCCCCCTTTTCCCTCCTCCTGGGAGGAAGGGATGGACTCATCCTCAGCGCTGCCTCTCTGCGGAAGACCCCCCCTCCTTTCCCTTAGTGTCAGTGGGGTGGGGCCTGTATCCACGGTTGGGGTGGGGGAAGGAAGGAGGAAATGGGGCAGAAATACTGGCTGGGCCTCTTTCCCCACTGGGGTTTGGGTGCCAGTGGCCCCCTTGAGAGCACTTGCTACCCGCTCGCTAGAGGTACTGGTCTCATCTGTCTGCCCCCTGGACTGGTGCACTTACCCCACTCCACCTGTTGCCAGGATCGCCTCATTTCTGCACATCATTTCGGGGTGGCTGAGAGGGGACCACAAACCCCTCCAAGCCTCTCTTTTGTGGTTCCAGCGAGGCGGTCATCCTTCATTTCTCCTTTTCCAGCTTTCGGGAAGCAGTTAGGGAATGTATGATGAAGCAGAAATGAGCCGTCAGGATGATATTTTAATGGCTTATATGTCACGTTGGTGCATGTGGCTTTGAACTGGAGCCGCTCGCGTTTCCTGCAGAGAGCGCCGCAAATCCCACTTGATAACTTCTACAACCCACAACTTTTTTTTTTTTTCTCACATTCACTCTTACCCTGTATATTTGGATGTGTTTCCTAAAAATACCCTCTTGTCAACGTCCCCGTTGGATTTTCCACAGACTGGAGAGGAGAAGACTGACTTTTCTTTTTTGAAGAATTATTTTCCCTCTCCCCCTCCCAACAGCTACCCTTCCCCCTTCGATCCCCTCCCTTGTAGGATTTTTTTTTTTTTTTTTTCCTGAAAGGCGGGTGAGGTGGGTTCAATATCTGTTCTCCCTAGTGAGAGGAATACAGCCTCTAGAGAAAACTTCTCCTTGCAGACGAGGTTTGCTCAGCTCCAGGGGAAGTAGCATCCCTGTAGGTAAAAAAGACTTAGTGACTCTGATACAGCTTTTTTGTCTAAGAAAAAAAGTGTATAATAATTTTTAAAAATGCCTCAGCGCTTTCTTTCCCTCCACTCCTCACTCCATTCCATTCCATTCAAAGTTGGTGGGAAATGCTGGGCTGCTAGACTCAGACTTGTTGATGGGAATAGAGCAATTGATTTTTTTTTTTTTTTCTTCTCTAATTTCTATTTCCCAGCACAAGCACAAATGCTCAGCCAGGTCCCTTCAGGCACCGAGAAATTATCCGGGATACCCAAGCCGACTTTTGAGCAAGCAGATCCCATGAAAAGTGCAGTCCCTCTGGCCAGCCCCAAGCGAAAATCTCGCCGGCGAGAAGACCAGAAAACCAGAAAGGCGAGGAGCGGCAGACGCTGACCCTGCCTTCCTCCAGCCCGTGCAGTCAGCGCCGGCGTCAGGGCAAAAAAATATATTCATGTTCATTTTCCTCTCTCTGGGGCACTGGTGAGTTTCCTAACAGGGCCGCCTGTGAAAGGATGAGTTGAGGTTTCTTTGTCTGGAAAAGAGTTTAGGGCTTTGATTCAGCTGCAAAGAAGCCAAATGAAGTTAGAAACAAAGGGTAAATTGAAGGATTCCGACTCTTGGCTTTTTGTGTTTTCCTTACTAGAAAATAATTAGACCTAATGAATATGCAGACGCTTCAGCTAAGCCCTCGGCCAGGGCTGCTGAGTTTTAAACAGAGCTGCGGAGAAATGCAACCTTCAGCCCCACAACCCCCCGCATCCGCGAGCATTTTTTTGAAATGCATAAATGTTGCTTGGCTTAATTGATTGAGTCACAGGGATTTTTTTTTTTTCCTGCTTTTAAGTACCATACTCCCCTACCTTTCAACAATCATTTTAATATATAGTCAATGGCTCTTTGTGGACGGGACAAAAAGAAAGTACGCGCAGTTGTTGAATAGACTTTGCGCTAGGCAAAGACAGGTTAATCGAGGGCCGCATCGCGAAAACAAGCGAGTGTTGTATGTTTGCACTGAATCCAAATGTCTGCATTTTCCTAACTAAATCAAAGGGAGTGTTATTTCTTTTTCTGTTCACTCATCTGAAGGTAAGTAAATTTTCTCTGGCGATCAAAAGCCTGGTCGGCAACAAAGACCGCGCCCGCTTTTTCCACCGTCCTGGTGTGGCGAGTTGCGGAATTTCAATAACTGTGACAAGGGTGACTGATTTGTGAACTAGAAAAGGTTTGAATGTCACAAAATTTACATTGGTCCTATCTATTGGGGATTTAAATACCAAAAAAGTATTCGGGGATCTCTAGGGAGCTTTGGGCAGCCCAAGGGAACAATGGCGCATTGGGAAATTTACAGTTTTACCTGAATGAAAGGGGCCCAAGTAGGGAACAGGAGACCAGAGAGAAAGAGTTAGCGGGGGCAGTCGAGGGAGACAAGGGAAAGAGAGAAAAGAGAAAAATAAGGCAAGAGAGGGAAAAAGAAAAGGAAATTGTCAACAACGTTTCAAATTTGCCATTAAAAAATTCCAACCTCAATAACCTGGGAACTTAAGCGCTTTCATCCACGTGTGTGTGTGTGTGTGTGTGTGTGTGTGTGTGTGTGTGTGTTTGGGGGTGCGGTGGTGCAGGAAGTCTGATTAGATAAAAGCGAGAATACAGAGGCTACCGGTTACACTGAGAAATTGCATTTCTTGTAAAGAGAGCATAGTGCCCGTGTGCTCCCAAGATCTTAAATTATAAACAGGAGGGGGACTAAGCAAGAGGGAAACAAACTTCAAAAGGAGCAAATAACAAAAGCCTTTTTTGCTGCCCTTGAATGGGGGGAAAGGGGGAAGAAAGAAAAGAAAGTTGCTGAATCGGGACATTCTGGAAGTGCCTTTGCTGTGTTTACCAGCCCCATCCCCGCCTCCTGCACAAGGATACGCCCGAAGTCTCTAAACGCTCAGCGAAGAGTAGGTTTAGGGAAGAACCGCGCGGGGGTGGGGGTGGGGGCATGGGAGGAGGAGGAGGAATGCAAACAACTGTGAGAAGGAAAGGAATCGTGGCAAAAAAAAAAAAAAAAAATTCCGTGAGAAGAGGGAAAAAATTTGGCTAAAAAGAAAGTTGCTTCTCCTGGCAGTCCTGGTTTGTCAAAAGGGGATGTCAAGCGCTTTACAATACCTGGGATTGATGAGGCGGGCGGGCCAATGAGCTGCGCTCGGCGCCTCGGCGCGCCCTCCGTTGGCGCGGCGGCTGCAGGCGGGGGGAGTGCAGGCGCACCAATGGGCGCCAGCATCCGCAGCACGTGACACCTCCCCCTGCTCCCATTCATCAAGGGGGGGACGGTGTCGTCCTTTCAATTCATTTATCTGCAGGAATGATTGCTGCTATCAGTCTCGCGCTCACCGCCCGGCTGAGGAGGTGAAAGTTTCTCCCCAGGAAGATAAACCGCAAAAGACAATATTGTGCATGATTTGCGCCTTTTCTTTGGCTTTTTCTTTCTTTCTTCTCCCCCCCACCCACTTTTTTTTTTTTTTTTTTTTTTTTTTTTTTTTTTTTTTTTTTTTTTTTTTTTTTTTTTTTTTTTTTTTTTTTTTTTTTTTTTTGCAAAAAGCAGAGAGGGAAAAAAGGAGAGTGAAGGAGCAAGGAGGTTTTTTTTTTTTTTTTTTGCAAAAAGCAGAGAGGGAAAAAAGGAGAGTGAAGGAGCAAGGAGGCGAGCCTGAGAGAAAGGAGACAGAAAAGAAAGGGCGAGGGGCTAGTGGAGAATTGAGGAGGGGCACGCGGCGAGAGGCGGAGAGGGGGAAGCAACCGCGGCTCTGGCGCTCACATTCCTCTATGCTACAAATCCGGGAGGAAGTTTTTTTGGGGGGCTGAGATGCTCCATGCCTTTCCCCGGGCAGCCTTGACACGCGGCCCTCTCGGCAGAGACTGAACGGCGAGAAAGTGCGAGCCGGGCCGGCTGGGTGTGCGTGGCGGGCACTGGAGCCTGCCTTACTAGCGGCCCGCAGCCGTCCGGCTACTTTGCGTTTGGCCGGGCCGGCGCCCCGGCGCGCCGCGCCGTTGCCTGCAGGCTAGGACTTCGAGAGGTGGGTCGACTCCCCCTCCCTCCTCCTCTTCTTCCTCCTCTTCCTCCTCCTGTCGGTCCTCCTCCTCCTCCTTCCGATTTTCCCTCTTTGGCTGGCGAGGGTGGGGGGGGCGGGGGAGGCCGGGGCTCGCCCCGAGCAGCCACGATGCTCCTGGACGCCGGCCCCCAGTACCCAGCGATCGGCGTGACCACCTTTGGCGCGTCCCGCCACCACTCTGCGGGCGACGTGGCCGAGCGAGACGTGGGCCTGGGCATCAACCCGTTCGCCGACGGCATGGGCGCCTTCAAGCTCAACCCCAGTTCTCATGAACTGGCTTCGGCCGGCCAGACGGCCTTCACGTCGCAGGCACCGGGCTACGCGGCAGCTGCGGCCCTGGGCCATCACCATCACCCCGGCCACGTCGGCTCCTATTCCAGCGCAGCCTTCAACTCCACGCGGGACTTTCTGTTCCGCAACCGGGGTTTTGGCGACGCGGCGGCGGCAGCCAGCGCACAGCACAGCCTCTTCGCTGCTTCGGCTGGGGGCTTCGGGGGCCCACACGGCCACACGGACGCCGCGGGCCACCTCCTCTTCCCTGGGCTTCACGAGCAGGCTGCCGGCCACGCGTCGCCTAACGTGGTCAACGGGCAGATGAGGCTCGGCTTCTCGGGGGACATGTACCCACGACCCGAGCAGTACGGCCAGGTGACCAGCCCGCGTTCCGAGCACTATGCTGCGCCGCAGCTGCACGGCTACGGGCCCATGAACGTGAACATGGCCGCGCATCACGGCGCCGGCGCCTTCTTCCGCTATATGCGTCAACCCATCAAGCAAGAGCTCATCTGCAAGTGGATCGAGCCCGAGCAACTGGCCAACCCCAAAAAGTCGTGCAACAAAACTTTCAGCACCATGCACGAGCTAGTCACGCACGTCACCGTGGAGCACGTAGGTGGCCCGGAGCAGAGTAACCACATCTGCTTTTGGGAGGAGTGTCCTCGCGAGGGCAAGCCCTTCAAAGCTAAATACAAACTGGTTAACCACATCCGCGTGCACACGGGCGAGAAGCCCTTCCCCTGCCCCTTCCCTGGCTGTGGCAAGGTCTTCGCACGCTCCGAGAACTTAAAGATCCACAAAAGGACGCACACAGGTACGGAAACCGCTCTAGGACCCCTACCCATCCCACTTGGGCCTGGGACCCAAAATCCGAAAGTCAGTGGCCAGGTCGTACAGATGAGCCTCGGTGGGATCCGGGTGTCAGGTTCTGGCAGGCAGGCAGGGAAAGTGTGCGCTGATTTTTAGTTTGGGGATTGAAATTATGAAAAAACAAAATAAAACAGAGGGCAGACAAGAAGGATCTGGAGTTAGAGATTTTTAAAATGAGGAACAAAAAAGTTCCGGAGAACAGGAAGCCAAACCTGGTTTGGCGGAGACTTGGTGCTTTCGAAGCCGGGGAAAGTGTCTGGCTCCGGGCAGCCGCGGAGGCGCCAGCTGCTCAGGCTGCAGACAAATCTAAACGCTTGCTTGCTGCCAACATCTCTCTCCAGGTACTTCATTGAGGACTTTGCCAAAGGAAAGAGCTGAGGAAATTGAGGCGAGCGGGTTAGGGGTGTAGAAAAAAACAAAATAGAGACAGAAATAGTTGAGACAGGAGGGGGAAAGGAAATAATTTGGGATTAAGAAGGCTTTTGAAGCTTTATGCACATTTGAAGAGCTCAATTTTAGTAGTGACTGGTTTTAAGCGTGGGCTTGAGGGATGGAGAAAGTCCAAGCAAAGCGAGGAAGACCTTTTTGTCTATTAGACTCCAAGAGGGTGGTTTTCAAAACACCGGATCACCAGCTTTGGCCTTTAAAAATAATCAAGACACAGGTCTGGAATAGTTTTAAAAAAAAAAAAAAGTTCCCGTGGGCTCAGTGTTGTAGTCTGACATCGGGCAAGACATTCTGGGCCCCTTGGGCCCACGAAGCCGGGAATTGGGTTTCCTTTCCTATCCTGATTTATCCGGATGAGGTCTGAGGACCATGCTTGGGACTTTGGGTTTAACGCGGAGTCAGGGAAGAATTGGCAGCGTTGAGTTCTCTCCCCCACAGACTCTGCCATAAAATGTGAGTGTCTGTAGGGAGTGGGGTGGGTTGGAGGAGGCAATGAGGGGTTGTGGAGCGTCGGGGAGGGGGCAGGAGGAGGAGAGAAAAGCAATAGGGCAGGAGAATAAGCCTCAAACGTGAAAACTAGAAACCGGGAGCCAGGTAGAAGTAATCTGAAATCGTGTATATAGCTCTGGTTAACACGACTTTCCAGACCCTGATGCTAAAAACCGACTCCTCCTCCTACTATTTTTTTAAACCTAAAAATAAAATGTAGATCTAATTGTATTAGAGGTTAAAATAGAGTTAAGATATTTATAATTCAGCTGCGGATATATGAATTTATTGACGTTCCGGGTTTTTAAGCTTGCAAAGTGCTAATCCTGGGCTGCTGGCTTTTTGTTTTGTTTTATTTTTCCATTTGTTTAGTTTTTGAAAAACTGCCGCGGAATTTTTTCTAATTAGACCCCTCTCATTCTCTTTTCGCACCAGGGGAGAAGCCCTTCAAGTGCGAGTTTGAGGGCTGTGACCGGCGCTTCGCTAACAGCAGCGACCGCAAGAAGCATATGCACGTGCACACGAGCGACAAGCCCTATCTTTGCAAGATGTGCGACAAGTCCTACACGCACCCCAGTTCGCTGCGCAAACACATGAAGGTAATCGCCTCTCTCTCGCTGCCCCCTTTGAGGCAGGAGCTGACTCGGCTCTCGGCCGGGGGTCGGGCGGCGAGTGGCAGCCAGGCGGTGGCGGGAGCCCGAGGAAACGGGAAGGCAAAGGCTCCACTCAGTCGACCTGGGCCTAGAGGGAAGGGCGGGACCTGGAAAAGGGGGTGGGAATGCCCAAGGCTGTTTTAAATTAATGGTTTCATAATAAAAGTTAAAAGAGGCGAGTACGAGCAAAGGCCGCCACTGAATTTGGCCCAGAGCTAGGCTTTTGCAAGGGGTTGAAGCTGCCGAAACTGAGGGCCTTGCTCCTGGCCCCGTGGGACTGTAGAGTTGGACTCCTGCACCCAGGCCTGAGCTCTGGCTCACCTAAATGTGGGCGAACAAAATTCGGGGAAGGAAAGTTCAGTCTCTGGCCTCAAATCCAGCCACCCTCTTCCCAGACCTATTTTTCTTTTGTGAGTCCTGCGACGCTGACTTTCCCAGGAGCACGGCGTCTGCAGGCCGATGCAGGGGAACCAAGCCCCAAGTTCCACTGATCTGGCCTCGACTGCATTTGGCGTCGGGCTCCAAGGGGTCTAGGAGGACGGGCACTTGCGGCCTTGGCCCCTCTAGGCTGCCGCCGCACTGGCTCTTTATGTCCATAAAAACGCGACTTTATTCCTGCAGGTCCACGAATCCTCCTCGCAGGGCTCGCAGCCTTCGCCGGCCGCCAGCTCAGGCTATGAGTCCTCCACGCCTCCCACCATCGTGTCTCCCTCCACAGACAACCCGACCACCAGCTCCTTATCGCCCTCCTCCTCTGCAGTCCACCACACAGCTGGCCACAGCGCACTCTCTTCCAATTTTAACGAATGGTACGTTTAAAATCAGAAACAAAACACCGAACAAAACCCTATTTAAGAGACTGATCACACACGTATATACAACATTACTGAAAGAACCCTGCGAATCGAAACAGCCCCACAGACCCCGCAATCCTTTTTTAAAAATCTGCCAATAGACCCAGGACGAGTAAGAGAGGAAGCATCAATCTTTTAAAAATTTCCTTTCGCTTTCAGAATTTTTCTTTTTTTGGCAAAGGCTTGGTACCCAAGGTGCGGTAGGGGGTCGAGGGGAAGGAGGCCGCCTGACCAAATGCCGCCAACCCCGAGGGCCAGTTTCTTGTCGGATCGGAACGGGCTCTCTGGGGCTTCGGCTTTTTTTTTTCTTTGTGCTCTTGTAAATACAGAATTATTAGCTTAAAACTGTACTGTTGAATTCTGTAAATAGTTATATCTCGGTTGGAGAGGGTGGGTGGGATTGTGGCGTTGTGGTCTTTGCATTGGGGGAGGGGGGAGGGGCAGGGTGGGTGGGGGGAGGGGGAGGGGTGGGCGGCCGAAAGCCAACTGTTTGTACTGAATGGCAAGAATGTTCTAGTAAATGTGTACCAAAATGTGAATTACTTTGTACGATTACAGTCTTCACGTCGACCTAACCGAATATTATTGGTATTAATGTGCTTTTTTTGTATGAAGTGCAAACATTTCGTCCCAAAGTCTGAGTACTTTAGTGCAGTAAAATGTTGTTTCACGTCCTGTCAAGAATTCGTATAGTACGAGCCTGGATCTGCGTGTCAAACTGTTTCATTCGTTTATGTAAAGTGATATTAAAAAAAGATATAAACTATAACTGTCCGTCGCTTTTGGCAAAAGATACAACCACATAATGTATATAATTCCTAGTTTCCATATTTATCCGCATGTTAAGGGCCAGTTTATCCATGTTACAGCTCTTCAATATTTATGGCTAGAAGAACTCGTATGTACACTTTAGTTTCCAGAACTGTTTGGTAACCTTTCGTACCTTATTAAAGATTCTTAAATCTCAGTGATTGTGGTAGGAATTTCTTCTTCACCAACCAGCAACCTGCTGCCTCTTCTGCCAGTCTTAAAGGGTCTCCAGAAAAGCTCTCCAGTCTCTCTTGCCTTCCCTTTCTGTCATTGCAGGTCGTATAAACGTGATAAATGAATGCTACCCTGCTGGCTCTCCGAGAGAGTGTAATTAGTATTTATATCAAAATTTATGAAACAAATTTTCGGCCGCAGTATAATTTAAATGACCTTTGCAGATGTAGAATAACAACCATAAAAATAACAGAAATAGATTGCACAGGCGATATCAATATTAATGTAGTCGAATTGTCAGAAGCTCAGGGGCTCGCTCTGCAACGTTGCAAATGAACTTGCAGTGGAGGGTTCCGCTGCCCCCTAGATTAAATTCCCGGGGCTGAAACCAAGTTGCAGATTTACAATATCATATTTTAAATTGCTGTCTTCAATTAAACCATTTATGACCATAACTAATTTTCAGAATGTCGATGCATGGTTTTCCAGGCCTTCCTTCTTTGTACAAAAGTAAATGTCCATAAAGCGTTTCAATTCTTCAAACATGATGCTAATTTAAATTAATTACTTCCTATCATATGTTATTATTCCTATGATTTTGCCACTGTTATTAGTTCTCTCAAAAATACATCTAGGGAAGAGGATTATTTTAAGTAATTTGATTATCTTTCTATCTCTTTTATTTATTTCTCATTTACTTAAGAAATTCGTTCCATTGGTTGGCGTTGATACAGTAAATTTGTAAATGAGCAGACAATATAAAAAATCTAAATTACTTGTGCTTAATGACTGTGGCAGACGCCTTTTCTCTAAATCAGATTGTCTTTCTTGCAGTTTAGTTTGATAGATTTGCAAGCTATGCTGCTTCCATGAAGTTAGCTGGGCTGGTAGGAACGCAGGCTTCTTTGTCTCTGGTTGTAGCTTGCTTGATCGCCCCATTAGGCAGACTACATAGCCGAAGACCACAAATCAGGCCCTTGGCTGTAGCTGCTAGGGTGTAGAGGTACAGAGCAGACAGCAGAAGCTGACCTCACTGGGGAAGGAGGACCGTGGACCTGATTCTTTATTATACTATATGTGTTCAGGAAGCCACAGGCCATAGTCGACTCTGAGAAAGAAAACAAGAGGAAAAACCCCACAAAGTATGATAACCCCTTAAGATACGTTTATTTTAAAGTGAAATTAATGTTTCAGATTATACCATTGGCCAATTACAAGACAAAAATGTTCACTTATCTTTAAGAATCCTTTGTTGACTTGTCTTTTCATCTCTTGCTATTTACATTTGTCACTGTTAGTCAACAGTCTTATTTGCTGAGGAAGGAATTTGCTGCACTTACTATAGCACATCACACACTGGGGAGGGTGGTGTTTAACTTTTTTAAAAATGCTATTCTGATTATAACAATAATATTGGCTTTTCATGAAAAGAGCGCCACCTTGCAAGGTTTAGTGAGATTTATGAAAGTTGAATACCTAAGCAGGAATTGTTGCTTCCTCCAAAAATTTGCAAACCAAAAGCTAGCCACCATTGGTTTGGAAGTTTGAAATTGATTAACAGTGTTGCATTTGAAGTGACTCCAGACATTAGGTTCAATAGTTAGAAAGAGGAATATAGATGCCTCCTCTCTCAAGAAAAGATAACACCAAAATTAATAATCTTTCCCACTTTTATTGAGATCAGGTTGTCTGATAAGCTGTTATGATTGTGATAATGATAAACGTGATAATAGTGGTACGTTTGTAAATTTGCTGGTGCATTTAAGACAATAGTAAATGATGAGTTCATCTTTTCTTTAAATATTTCTATTCCTGAATATAGTTTTACTTGAAATTTGGAATTATATGTTTAATTTTTGTTGTGAACCTGATAGTTAAATATTACACTATGACATATGATTTAAGTAGGATATTTTAAAGACAAATTTTAGGTGTAAATGTTTACTTCAAAATGACTTCATATTTCAAATATCTATTTAGACTTTGAAGGACAAATAATTTTTAAAAGAACATTTAAAGAGTAGTGTGTTTGCATTTGTGAATAATCTCACGCACAGCAAAGAAACATAATAGAACCCAACATTTAAGCCAACCCTTCTGTGCATTCTCTTTTCCAACACCTATAACAAAGAAAAAGTCATTAATGATGTAAGTGGTTTAAAATAATGCTTCAAACTTAAATGTAGTCTATTATTTTGCTGGTACCTTTAATGTCTACTTCTTGAGATGTATTCTTCATACTTTTCTTCATGGGTTATTAGGTTTTGAAATACATGAATGTGAACAGCGAAATATGTTGTTAGACTCTCTTTAGCAGGAGCTGAAGATGCTGCAAATGGCTGTTTCCTGTGTGTAGCTGTAGATTTTGACTTAGGCAGAATGCTGTCCTGGTTCATATTGCAACTGCATTGTATTCTGAATACTACCAAATGATTAGAACAGCTAACAAGTTATTAAAAAGTTATGTTGTGTCAACAGAAAATGCCTGAGTATAAGCAACCATATTTGAGAAATGAAGAGAAATGAGTTGTGGTATGTGTGTGTGTTCATTTATAGACCAAGCATATAAATATACAAACACCATTTATATGGGGGCTAATTTTCAAACATTTCAGATCCTTTGTTTTCTTCTTCAAAAGCTACCCCCAACTGCTTTAAGCGTTTGCAGCTGATGATTTTGATTTTTTTAAAGTCAAGCATTCAAGTTAACCTTTAAAAAGCAAACCACCTCCAAAAGAAAGATGTAACCTTTCAATTGCCCCATCTGCTTATCTTTTCCTTTTTTCTTTTTTAGCTGACAATGAAAATAGCACTAACCTTCTTTGCTGATGGGCCTGGCATTTAGATGTTTTTATTTGTTGATTGTGAAGTTTTCTCAGAACTTTTAAAGGGCTGGCCACAGAATTACACCCCCAAGTACCTCAACCAGCCCAAAAACCTTCTGGAAGTTTTCTTTTTGAGGCCAACATTTAATCAGTATCTAGGACCCCTTGTGAGTCAGTGCTGTTAGGGTTGTTACCTGAACATACTGCTTTTCAGGAAGTGACTTGGAGAAGGCCCTTAAAGAGAGGATTTAGTTTATGATGTTATGAGGAGTTACTGTATGTGGTCTGGCACACTCAAAGGCACTTGTACCCTTCACTGTGAACTAGATATAAAGACATCAGCTCTTACACATTCCCAACTTATGTTTCTCTCGTTTTTCCAACTTAAAATACTAATTACAAATTTATCTCCTCCTCTCTAGTTACAGTATCAAGTACAGTTCTTAGAATTATGTGTTATATTTGGGGGAGAAATGTGTTCATAAAGATAGTCACAGTTGATATCAACTGTTTTAGAATTCTTAAAAATAGTGTGGCAATGGAAATAATGATCCTATCTGTGCCATCAAGCCGCTAAAGGTACAAGTTACCTATGGTAGTCTCTCTTTCAGCTTTTTAACCACCCTGTCCATCCTTTGTAATATGTACAATTCAAACTAGTTAGATATAGAAAGTAAGATTATTATGGGTATGCATACAGCAATTTAAAAAAATAACTGCTAGTTTGGGGCAAACTAGTGGTCATCTAGTGGTTAACAAAAAATGTTAACTTCTTATGTCACATTCAATCCTTTTCCTCAAAGTTTATTGCAAATATAATGATGTAATAGGTGCAAAATATGAATAATGTTCTCTTTAAATCTATGCAAGCCTGGTTTGCTACAGAGTCTTTTCCTTAGCAAGAGGAAGCACATCAGACCAAACCAGGGGCTATTTTCACTGTGGAAGCTGGGATCTGTCATCAGTTCCTAAAGTTGATACCCATTTTAAAGTGAAGAACTAAAACAGTATGAAGTTCCCAATTGATGTTAATATACTAAAGGTGAGTTTTTTAAAAATCGGGTTTAGCTATCTAGAGTGGAAATATCATTTGGCAGTGAAGATGCCACAGATTGACTGTGTCAACTGTCTGCAATACTTTGGCTGTCTCTGATGGTTGTGAGACATCTCCGTAAGCATATGCAGGGGAATCCACAGGTTGTGAAAGTTAAGCAGTGACATTGTCACCTATAGCACACACAAGAATCCACTGTTGAGCATGAGTATAAACATATTGGAATCACATCTTTAAAAACAACAATAGCAAGCAAACCCAAGTTGTCCGACCTTAGCAAACTTTAAAAAAATTGTTATTTTCCATCTTTACTTTGTGTAACAGTGTCCATTAAGTTGCAGAAAGCAGGAACGTAAACGGTGGAAGACGCTCGCATCGCGATTCCTTTTTAAAGGTTTTCCGTCCATCCGGGAAAATCCCAGCCTCTGGTTAAGAAAACGGAAAGTTGAGGAGAAAGAACGGGGTAGGACGGAGTGCGTAAAGGAAAATTTTGGCATCGGTGGATTTCTCGAAAGCATGGAAACAGTCTTCCGGGGTCGTTGTAGGGGTGCAACAGCGGGACTTCCCCACAACACTTCCACGGAAGGCTGGGTCGTCAGCGTCTGAGGGACCCTCCCGCCACCCCGCAGCCCGGCGGCGCGCTTCCCAAACCGCCGCGGCGGGCTCCGGCCGGGCCGGGAGAGCTGTGCGCATGCGCGGCCCGAGGCCCGGGGTTCCACGTGCTGATGAATATGCATGAGACTCCCCCGCCCTCGCGGGCGGCGGAGAGAACCACGCAGAGGCTCCGGCCTGTGAAAGTCGCTGGCTGGGCTCCCAAAACAGTGCGGCGGGGAAGCTGCACGTGTTTGTTTTCAAACCTCGCCGGTTTAAGTGAGTTCACAATGCCGAGCCGACAGCAGAGGCTAGAGCAACCTGGGGCTGCTGCCACTGGGACCGCGAGTTGAGCGGGCCAGTCAGGATCTCTCCTTCGCCGGGGGCCGGGGGCTGCGGGCTGCTGGAGCCCCAGCCTGCCACACCCCAGTGCACCCGGTTGTTGGGTTTCCCGCTCACCCCGGGCCCCCCAAGGAGGCCTTCTTCTCTCCCAAGCCGGAGCGGTCGTCCCGGCTGTTCTCCAATCCCTAGCCCCTCGAAGACGTCCCTTCGACTCACTTAGCCTGCCCGTAGCCAGAGCTCAGGCCCAAGGTGACCGTGGAGTGGCACGGGGGATTTTCTTAGGCCCTACACTCTTCCCTTGCCCAGATCCAAGCCTGTGTGTCGGCTTGTCTTTGTCTCTCCGCCTCTCTCTCCCACTCTTTAATCCTGGTTCCTCTTGCTCTCTGGCATTGCCTCAGCCTCCCACCTCCCCATTTGGGAGACTAGGAGCCATTTGCTTAAACAACTGTTCTAGGGTTTCCACTTGAACCTTTCCAAATAATACTAATCAGCTTGCCTGTCTTGGACTTGAGATGGTCCTGTTAAATCGAAACGGGGGGACTGGTGGGGGAACTGCCCTGGCCTCGAGACCAGAAAGCGTAGGATTTGGTGAAGGACACCTGGGTTAAGTCGCTGGATTATTGCTTTCTTCTCCTAGTGACATCCTTGGGGATCTGCATGGTATTTTGATGGCCAGTGTGCTGACATTTCCAGAGTGAGCGCATAATCTATGTGGAGTGGTCAATGCTTGTAAACAAAGGGGAGGAGCAGTAGGGAGGGTCCCTGGGTCACTCCATCCTCCGATGGACTGATATCTACAGCCTTTGGGTGTTTTAGTCAGAATCCTGGGTCCCTTAACATCCGAAGTGGTTGCTGACAGGTTCCAATCCTCTAGATTTTTACTTTCAACAGAACAGGTAGACTCACTTTTTGGAGACTACCGTTTCACTGCCTTCACTGGGAACAGGAGACGGCTCACACTCCGTCTATCCCAGGGCCAGCTCCATCTGTACCAGTTCTGCAATATGGGGACCACAGTATCATTTCACCTGACAATCACCACTCCCCAAGCCTTCAGCATTGAACTTGAGGAGGCAGAAACGGAGGCTTTGGAAATGTTCCTGCCAGGACAATGCCTTTCTTCCTACCCAAACTCGCGAGTCTCCGAGCTCAATAACGGGAGGATGGCTTAAGAGCGTTTGCTCTAGGTCTCTTTGCCGGACTTGTCGATCCTCACCCACTGCCATCGAGTGCTAGGCCCACAGAGGCCTGGCAGAAGACACTTAATCCCCACTACCCATGACTAGGAGGAAAGTGGCCGGAGCGTGAGGGTTAGAGTTCTTCCGTCTCAGAGTCCCGGAAGTCAGAGCGCCCAGCGTCTACTCTGGGACGCACAATCCCTCGTTCCACGACCCCACCCCCACCACAGGGGCCACCCCAGAAGAAATCCATTCGTAATTTGGGTCCCTTTGTGTTTGAGTATTGTGGGGAGGGGGCGATCTAGATTCTACGGACTTCAAGCTAACGATGACCTGTGTGGGCCTCACTCTGAACAGAAAACTGTAACCCAGCGTGGGTTCCCTCGTTTTCCCCAAAAGGCCAAGGCCCAAAGAACCCTTTCCATTTGGCGAGGGGCTTGAGGGAAGGGAGGGGCGAGGGCGGAAGCGGGTCAGGGTCTGCAAGCTAGCGGCCCAGCGCCGCGGACTTGTCCGGCTGCTCAGCTTGGCAGCCAGCTTCCGTGCCGGCAACGCGGCTGCCTTCTCCTGGGCTAGAGAGTGAGGACGTCCGTTCCCCGCCCCCAGGCGTCCCTAGGGTCGGCGCCAGAGCCCAGGAGCCCAGGAGGCCTTCGCTCGGGGACGGCGAGGCGGGCTCTGGGTCCTCTCCCAGCCAGGCCGAGTTTAGCATGTGGAGGTGGCGCGGGAGCGCGGGCATGGACCAAGGGAAGGGGGACCCCCAAACCGCACTGGTGCTTTCCTTTCCCTCCACTCGCTCCGTAGCCCTCCCCAAATTGCCCGTCTCCGGTAGGACTGACTCTGCCTGCCTGGCCTCTCAGCTACCAACTTTGCCCGCAATCTAGATCCCAGACCTGGTAAGTCGCGTTCCTCCCTTACCCCGCCCCGCCACCTTACTAGCGGACGCGGCCCGAGACGGAGTGCGCGCGCGTGGCCTGAGGCGCGCGCCGAGAAGTTGGATTGATTTGGAACTGCTGCGCCCATTCGGCCTCTGCCGCTGCGGTGTATACGTTTATATGCCGAACACGCCAGGATAGTCAGGGAATCGCAGGGCTCCCCAGAGAGGCGGGAGCGAAAAGAGTGCAGGCCCACTCTTCTGGATCCTCTTGGCCCTATGGACACCAAAGCCATCTTTTAAGAATAAGCTTTTTGCTGGTCTGTAAAAGGGGAAGGGGACAGCGGGGGAGGAGAATTATCCCTTTCCCTAAGCAGTTTGTAATCACTAAGGTCTCCAACAAAGTTTACTTGGCGGTTTCCATTTGAATGCTGTGAAATTGTTATTATTGCTATTTTAAGTTAAGGTTTCTAAGAGTCACAGCTTCTCAAATATACGTGCCTCTTGAGAACGCTTCAACAATTACCTTGTCCACTAACTGCACTTCCTTCCCACTGGAAAAAATAAACTTAATTTTTCAGTAGTTGCCTTAGGTCACGTCGTTTACATGTCACTAATGTGAAGAAAGAAGGGAAAAAAAGAAAAACAACCTTGGCATTTCTAGTTGGAGCTCCCTGCGCTTTATTATTGAAATTTGAAAGATGGATTTTGGGGTGGGAGGGGGAGGTAGGGCGCTGGAAAAGGGCTTTTGAACCACAGTACCCTGTTGCAAGGGGCTGACCTTTGGCTGACACAGCCATGGAGCAGGCCGTTCGTTAACGAGGATTTGATACATTAGACATTCGAGCTGGGCGTGTAAAGCTACACTCTCAATCCAGATTTCGCTCAAATTAGTGTTCGAGGAAATGATCTTTCCAAGTCCTGAGGCTTAATCAAGTGTCAGGCAGCCCGATCGCTGCCTGAAAAGGGCAGCGAAGGACACAGGGTAAAAGGCACATTCCTAGCTCCTTTAAAATAATAATAATAATGATGATGTCAACAAAGCAAAACAACAGACCAGAAACCTGCTTTGAATAATTCTTAAAATCCTTTAAGTTGTCACTTTGAGGGAATGCTTATAAATAAGGTTAATCACCTCCTTTTAATGAATTCCGTTCTGAGAAATCCTAACACCAGTCAAGGCTGTGAAGACAGTGTCACAGTTATGGCAATATTTTTTTGAGGGGTGTGTGGGTGTGTTTCTGTTTTACTCTCTAGAAATACTAGAGTGTGACAATTTATATCCACCAGACAGTGGGGCACATGGAAAGCGGATAGTCATAGTCACAGGTTTTTAAAGTCTTCGAGAAAGTAGAGGCGTCTCGATTTAATTTGGTTCGAGTTATCCCCAGACTTTGGAGTTCAGAAAAGGAAGGCAGGCTGGCCAAAGTCCCTGGCCTGACGCTGTGCGGCTGAACTTGCAGCGTTTCAGCCTCGCAGATGGGGATGGAGTTGGAGGCGTCGCTGCAGCCAGGACTGGGAGGCCACTTGCTTGGAGAGTGAGACGGCTCACGCGGTATTTATTGACTGGCTCGAGAAAGGTGTCCTTTTACTTAAGTTGTCATTAAAGCGCCAAGTTTTAAAAGCGCATCCCCAGAAAATGCTTTTATTCTCTTTCCCCCAGTAACAGAGCCCGCTAATTGCTTTCAACTGTAGAAGGAGCAACTCACTCCTGCCGGAGGTCCCAGCCACTCTCTGGTGGAAGCTGGAGGGCGAAGCGAAATTGTGTTCTGAGCCCCGCAGCCCTCCAATGGCTGACTTCCTTCAGCTGCTGTCCTGGGGAGCGGATCCCAGCGGCAGAGGCAATTTTCCGCACCTGGGTGTTGCTTTCTGCCGCCGGGCTTTGCCCGAGCCATGCAGGCGCGGTTTCTGGGCCCCGAATTTATTCCAAGAGAAAACGCACAAAAATCATTTGTGGTTTCAAATCTTTATTCAGGGAGTCTCTGCCACCACTCCCCCTCTGTTCTCTGGCTGTAGATGAAAAGATAGAAAGTTAAACGAGAAAGGCAACCACTATTATGAAAAAAAGATATTCTGAGGATTCCAGGGAAGAGAAATTACTCCCCAACAGCCTACGCTGGAGAAATCCAGAGTGGATAGGGCCCATGAGAGCTACAGGATTTTTTCCAGACGGAGTTGTGTAGACTCAGTCGCAAGCATGGGCCGGTGGCTTCCCAAACTCAGGTCCCGTGTCTCACTATTTGGGCAACTGCAGGGGATTGAAGACAGTTTTCTGGACGATAGAGGCCAAGGCTCCCACTGGAAAATCAAACCTTTCTATAATCTTGATAACTCCCCAGGGTGGGGAGGTTGTAAAATTTGGTCTAAGGTGAGAAGAATGGGGAAAGAAGGGAAAGTTGGAGGAGGGTGGGAGAGTAAGAAAAGAGGAAAGGCTGGTTATGTGCGAGGTCGAGTTCATTTTCCCTCACTGGCAGGTTCCAGCACCAGCTCACGGATGAGAAACTCTCCGGGAGCCCCAACTTCCAACTTGTGTCAAGTTGAGGTAGAAACGGTGGGTTTATTTTGTTTAAGGTCCACATTTTTGGAGTCAGTGTAAAACAGTATTACAATGTCCCATATAAGGGTTGAGGGAAGGAAGCAATCAATGTTCATAGACTTGCCCTGTTTCTCCCTGGCCTTTTTATTCTAGAACTTCCAATCCCGTTTCACCCCAGGAACCTATACTCGGGTTCGGGCCTCTAGACTTTGTCGCAGCCTGGGGCGCCTGTGAGTACCCCGGAGCCGCAAACGCTGCCATTCTAACTTTGACAGGACTTTCTGGCGGGCGCGAGGAAAGCCCCTTTCGTCTTTTCTGAGGTTTTATCCGACCCTGCCCTGGACTCCCTCCCTGCAGGCCCCCGGAGCTCCAGTCCAGGCCACCGGGGGACTGCTGGGGACCTGACGCAGGCAGCTCAGCCGCTGACGTCAGGGGCTGCCGGCGGCTGGAACCCGAGCCCAGGCCACAGGCGCCAGGCGCGGGCATCATTAATTATCAGGCACGAAATGTTGCAAAGAAAGCGCAAGCTATTCTGCTGGCAGCTGATAAATATATATTTTTTCTTTTGGGAGGAGGGAGCGGGAAAGGAAAAGGTAAAATGCAGTAAGAAACAGTTATTTGGTTTCTTAAGGCTTCTTCAGGCTTACTAACTTCTCACCCTCCTCCCTCCAGGTCTGCCCCTTGGGTCCACTCTTTTGTAGGTATGAACTCCGCACTTTCCACTTGGTTTGGGGGATTCCTAGTGAAAGTGCCAATATTTGTTCGTGTGGGAACTGCAGTGCTACAATATCCTTGTAGATTACAGCTCGAGGGGCTGTAAGCCAAGGGAGTATTTGCTTCCTAAAGCTGGATGTATCTTTTCCATATCACCCCTTCCGTTTAGTCAGATCCTTAGCCCAATATCTGATATTATTATTGTTGTTATTAAGTAAAAAGGAAACAACAAGAAACCCTCCCCACAAAGACAGGGCCAAAAGAAATGAACAGTGCAACTCGGCAGCAAGAACGAAGCCTTTCATTTGTAACAGCAAAAGCACCTTTCCTTTTTTTCTTTTGTTTTAAAAGGAATTATAATGAGTAGCTTAAAATAGAATTTTAGGCAGCAATAAAGTCTTCAGAATCACATTCGTTCTTGGTTCTAGTTCCAATGAATTTTCAAAATCCTTCTTCTGAGAATCATTGCCGAATAAATACAGGGCAGAGCAGGGTCATTGTGAAGCGAATTCTCTCTTGGGCTTTTCCTTGCAAAGGGGGAAAAATGTGTCATTCATAACGGAATTCCACAGGTGATAGTAAATCGATTTCCTGGAAAAAGAACAAAGAGAAATTAGAATTAAACTTTAAAACCCACCCAAATTTAGAAAATTTTAATATCAGTAGAAGCAATGCTCTGCAAATTCCAATGACTTTAATATTACCTAATTCGTCATAACTAATTTCGTTACAATTAACTAACTGAATTAAAAACTCCTTCCAGAAGATATACAAAAATAGAGCTCACATGTATCACTGCATATTGTCAGTAAATAACAGCTCTTGAAAATACAAGATTATCTTTATAAGTATGCATGTAAATGTATTTGTCAGTATCTACAGGGTCAGAATAAAAAGCTCTTCAGTTGTTTTATAGGAGGTAAAAAAATCAATAAACGAAATTTAAAAGGCCTTTTGGAAACTTCATATCACTGTAGATGGACTTTTATCCAGAATTATGTTGGTGATGATTTTATTCTGAAATTAGTAATTTATTTTTAACCAATAAGTACATGGTAAACACTTAACATATATATATTGATGTCTCAGAAATGTACAGTAATTATTCTATAAAATATGAGTGAAAAGGAAGTTCATTATTATAGAGTATGATATTTTTTGGTATTTACCTCTTTATGAAGGCGAATTTTAGAGAGCTATATTGGTCACACTAATACATGTATAAAATTTCTTAAACATACATCAATAAAAACATTCAGGAGTTGGTGTGTTAAGTATTAGAAAAAAAGAGATTCCTGCACACACACACAGACATACACACACACACACAAACACAAGACCAATGAAAAGAAACCTCATTTGGGGTAAATAAAAACAAGAAAAAATTCAGAGTCCAATTTTTTTCTTTAACCGTATTAACTATTTTTGTGGCTTGTAATACTTAGACTTTTATTTAAAATTTCAAACATTGTGTGTTTATGAGATTGAAAAATATTTGGAATTGAGGGCAACAGTTAATCAGCATTCAGTAACTTCAGTGCTGTGTTTCTATTTTATATACCACTTCTTTCATGTACTATAAATCTTTCTTGAGGAGTCCACTATTTTTGGTACAGCAGGCTGAAGTTTATGGGTCTCAGGTATATTCCAGACTACGTGTATAACACTTCAGCTGGGAAAAATCCCAGGAAATCCAGTAGATTTAAAATGTCAGCTAACATTATTATGCTTTTCAAATCAATAAACATTTACAGATTTACACCAATAATTAA